ATCATCATCATCTATCACTTTCTTGTACAACTTATCTTAGTACCACTTCAAGTATAACCAAAATATCGTTTTCCCAACACGGCTCTAAGCGTAAAACTACAATAAACCTTATGATGTTCGACAATTATAACAATGTTCGACAATTATTTCCCTGGTGGCATTAATGGTCAAAGATCTTAGCTTAATCCATGGCCTACTGTTATCAGGCAATCACAAGAAAACTAAGCGGATAAAAAACGATAGAGGGAGACCACCGAAGCAGAAACAGATACACTTAAAATAGCATACAGGGAAGATTCACTGGGCAATGTCTTACATAGCATTTTTGTGGATTGACCTGACTAGCTAGTAGAAAATGGGAAGCCATAACAATGTCATGAAAATTGTTGGAATCGTGTCATGGAAACGATGAGAAGCCATTTCAATGTCTTGGAAACTGTTAAAATCATGACAAGGAAACAATGGGAAGCCATTTCAATGTCTTGGAAACTGTTGGAAGCAGGTCAATGAAACAATGGGAGGCCATTTCAATGTTTTGGAAACTGTTGGAAGCAGGTCAAGGAAACAATGGGAACCCACTTCAATGTGTTGGAAACCGTTGGAATCATGTCAAGGACACAATGGGAAGCCATTTCAATTTTATGACATTCCAACACTGAAGTCAGAAGCACAACACAGATATAGTAGTCAGAAGCAAAGTAATGAGTTGTCTTCGTAGTGTATTTCACCAAATCAAATGACCTGYCATAACTAAAATCAAACTGATGGCACAAGCACTGATGAATAAGAAGCCATTTTAGTGTCGTGAGTGACATGCTGTCAGTTAAGTTGCTGCAAATTTCATTCATACCACAAATGATAAACGAAAATAATCTTACTTTAAAACTTAACCTGAGGCACAGCTGACACACGGTGAAACATTGCGCGCGATATCGCAGACAATATAGTTCAAGTAGGATCGTTTTCTACTCCATGGTAATATTGGGTGCAACAAATTGCGTCGTGCGACGACATGGCTCGCCGCAACATTGATTGCCTGCAATATTGCCCACCATTTTGCACACTACCATAACACAGGTAATAATAAGAGGCTATCGTCGGTTTCTCAACAAGAAATTGTCTTTTGTCATTAAAAAGATAAATTTAAAATCTTTAAATTCAGATATGCTGGAGGCCTTTTTTCATTATTTCGTCAACTGACTTCAAAGCTAGCAAAATGTTTTTCTTCATCTTAAACCCCCTAGAAATATTAATCTTATTACGCACGCAGTCCTCAAAAACACCACAGATATCTCCGAATGGCTTGTTTTATTGGTGATTAAAACTAAAACCGGCTCTTAAGCTACGCGCACCAGGTCGTTAATAATCCACTCTTGACATGAATGCATTGTAACCTTCCAATTTCCGGCCAAGTTTCTGAATTAAAGATGGATTTCTGGTGTCGTTCTGGAATATTCTTGCCCATGTTCGTGAGAGAGTTTGTTTGGYGTGGTATTTTTTCTCCCTCAGGCAGTTGGATTTTATTATAATAGAGAGTGATTAGATTTAATATATAGGGTAGGTCAATAGACGTAATACAATTGAATTTGTTAACATTGTCAATCATCGAAAACGAGCATGATAATATTTTTAGAACACCAGGGCGTGTCCAGTATAGATCTCGCGGGTCAATAGGGACCTGCATGATCTACCGTATTATTTATGCCCTTTGGTGAGCAGAATAAATGTTGTTATAAATCGTTCTTGTTTTTTACCAGGGTAGCACATAGTATCCRTTGAATAAAAAGCCTGTTGCCCTTGTTTTGCTTTGCTTTTTAAATTTAAACATATTTAATCACAAATTAACCCGAAGAGCAAAAACTCATCGAGGGGGTCTATACATCCATTTAGACACAAACTAAATTACATGGAATACTTAGGACAAATGCAAGAAAGACAAGTAATAAKAACAAGTACATTAGCAAGATAGGAGATGAAGCAAAAAAATTAAGAAAAGTTATTAAATAAACGAGTACAATAAATTAAATTAGGACAAAGAAAAAACGTTTAGAGTCTAGTAAATTTGGCCCTCGTTCCATGATCAAATTGGAATTCAAAAGACGATTTTTACGGAGGGAAGAATACCGGGGAAAAAACCCTCAAGGTATGGGAAAACCAAGCTAACATTCTTCTCACATAACAACAAAGCTGGGAGTCGAACCCGGGTCGCATTGGTGATAGGCGAGCTAGCGCTCTCACCACTACGCCACCCGTGCTTCCCTGAGAAAAATTGTTATAACATTAGGGCGTGTCCAGTATAGACCTCAGTCCACAGGGACCGGTAAAACACTGGGGCGTGTGTTTGATCAGCAAGGCTAAGAATAAACTGGTTATTATCTAGATGGAAGGCTGGTGAAAAATGAGATATGTCATGCTACATTCCCCGCCCTCTTCCTAAAGAGCACCTTTTTATAGGCTCGGAAACTCGTAATGCTTCCACTTTTTTTTTCTGGAAAAGAAAGCGATGGCCTTTTTACCTCACACCATCTCTAGCTAATCACTCATCTAAACGCACAGAAATCTAATGTGAACATGTATTGGAGACGTAGTTTTTTAAAATTAAAAAAAAAAAACACTTGAAAGCTTTTAAAATGAACGACAGGTGAAATTGAAGAGAACTTATTAAAATTCGGAGTTTCAAGAGGTTTTTATTGAAGAGGTTTGTTTGTTTTTGAGGTAGGTATGCTACTTAGAGGGGAGCGGTGAGAATGATTTGCATTGCAATGTGATTGGCTGGAAATTTTATTYCATTTTTCGTTAGTAATTTAAAACCGAAAAAATAAATATACATAATTAGAAAAAAGCTTTGGTATTTTGGTGAAAGTATCATTGGTGTTAATGTTAATTGGGATTTAATTTTTTAAGGGGAATATTAGTTAAAATATAASAATCTTTTAAATCTTTTGCTTCTTTATTGTGTAGTTTATATTCATTTTAATACATTTACTGACAGTCTAATATGCAAAATAGGCCTTCGTATTTACAAACTATGCAAAATATAGTCTTGGTATAATGTGAAGTTCCAGAAATCTATACCCACCGCACAGAGGAATTTGGAATTTCTGAAGGAAGGGGGYCAGAGAAAGAACAATAATTACAGAGTTTGTATGGAAGAAAATTGGAATTTCCGGACGTGTAGGGGGAGGGGGGTTCCTAAAAAAGATTCCTCTAAGAGGGGTAATGGATAATTTCAGTTAGTTTTTTCATATCAGACCATGTGTCATTCTATTTTGTTGCTTGAGTTGTGTCTTTACATTCATGTGTCTTCTCATGAGCAACCATTAAACAAAGAAATGATACTCTAGGGAATGACACGTGGTCTGGAATGGGAAAAGRTTACTTCCAAGAAAAGGTCCTTTTATACCATCAACCCAGATTTTATCAGCTAGCATAATTTAGAATTCAGAAACTATTTACTTTTTTACTTCACTTGATAATAATCTAAAATGCTTGAGTACGATGTAACTTCTACTGTTCAAAAACATTTTTTACAGATAAGAACAAAAACCCTTTAGGCAAAGCCATATTTAAACAGGATACTCATAATTGACATTAATATTTACCCTAGTGTTACATATTACATTCAAATGTTTGAAACATGATGGCAATGACAGCATATAAAATGCCTAAGTTATCTTTGAGATTGAGCCTCAAGGCTGCACAAAACTAGAAACTGTATTGGCTCTGCCATTAATGATAAGATCAYGAATGATGATTTATAAATAATTTTTCTTTAATTTCTCACGTTATTGTTATATCATCATTTTAGCATAATATATTTTTGATTTTTGTGAATATTTTTTAAATGTTTATTTGACTATCTTTCAGCAGCTTATCGTCTGCTGTTTCTCTGCCCCCTAAGGTCTTTGTCTTTAGAAAACATGGTTATCTATTCGTGTGCTAATTTTACTCAGTAGAAGAAAAAAATAAAAGGAAATTATCATTAAAAAATCTAAGAACCTTAAAAGCATCAACCATTTTGCACACAGTAATTCCTCTAAGCTGAGGATATTGTTTTGCTACATGTTGATATCTTTGAAAACAGAAACATTCTGGAGAAGAGAAAGCTTGCCAATGTAGCATCCAAGTAAGAAATGCCTGGACAAGAAAACTAATCTGAAACCTCTGGTTGTCTAACGAAATAGCAGTTTAGGAAAATAGCCACTACATTACAAATTCTTCAAAAGTCCACCACATCAGGTCCAGCTTCAAATCATTGTACTTTTTACAGAAGAATCTCTCAACCAAAACGATGGCAAAGGAGAACAACAGTCAACCAAGATACCAATGACAAGACCTCAACAGAATCATAATTTCAGTTTACTCATTATTTTCTGTGGATCCAAAAAGCTTCTCAAAAGCAACCTGGATTTCTGCAATCATATCGGAAGTTGTCATGCTACGCCTCATTTTTGCAAAGGCCAGAGAGTTACATGTGCGAGTCAGACTGCTTGCTGCATAGGCTGCAAGGATGGTTGGATTTAATGGACTAAAAGAATGAAAATGGGAAAATATCAGGATGTTGTGCTTAGCTTCATTTTGCGAAAGGTCAGAGAATTGCCACTAGCTTGGAAACATATTTACGTAAGGAAAGTGATCTCTTGAAAAAAAGTGTAGAATGTAATGTCATGATTACTTGTAAGCAGGTCAAAATTGAGATAAAATTAAAACTAAAAAGTGGATGATTAGCTGTGATAGATTAGCTGTGATAGAGTACTTGAAGAGTACTTGGTGTATTTATTCTATCTGCTGCAAATTTGAAGAAAAAATGCAATTCTTTCACTACAAGGAGTGAATGCTTAGTATCCTGGGACAGAGGTTAATTTGTAAAGCATTCAATGCCATAACAAATTGGAATTTGTTTTTATAGGAAGAGGAAATAAACTGGAGAACCTGGAGAAAAACCCTTGAAGCACAGGAGAGAACCAAAAAGCAACTCTACTTCCATGTGATGATGGCTCCAAGGCTGGAACCCACAACCACAGCAGTGAGAGGTGGCGCAGTGGGAGGTGCTGCATTAGCAGTGCACCCCTGTTTTCCTGTTGTTTTACTTGTATTTTAAACAAATAAAAGCAGCCTTGTCTCCCCAAGCATATGCACTTATTGTTGGTGATATAGAAGTATTGTTAAGATATAATCTAAGTATCTTATTCTTACCTGCAATTTTCTTCGCCTTTATTCTTTTCACTCCAGTTATAAGCCCAATACACAAATGTTCCCATAGAACCAGAGAGAAGGTCTCCTTGACCACCACATCTGCGACTACTTCCAGGTGTGGAACCAAAAACAACTAGACACAAAACAAAGATGGTCATGATTGTCTGTCTCCAAGGAGGGAAGGGTACACCAGTAGAAGGAGCTAAGATTTATAATAGCAGTAGCAGAAGCAGCAGTAGCAGTGGTTTTAGTAGCAGTAGCAGCAGCAGCACAAGCAGTAGTATTAGCAGTAGCAGTAGTACCTGCAGTTCTAGTAGTAGTACCAGCAGTAGTAGCAGTAGTAGTACAATGTATGCAGCTCAGGCAGGCTGGTGCTACATAATAGGACTCGCGTCAGGGTCCCCTATAAAATTCCCATGCCAATCCCACAATCAACCCATTAAAAAATCATCAGTAAAGGGTGGTCACTGTCAGGRTTTCTTTACGTCCTCAGTGGTTCTTTTACGTCCCTCCATTGCAGGGTGAGGTAATGTGAGGGTAACAGGACCGCCATTTTACATGGTCATCCGAGCCACGTGGAGGTCTAACCATTTGTAGTTGTTATTACAAAGGCAGCACATTCTCCTCAGCTATTTTTTAGACCCTGAGTGTTGGTTTGGCTGGGACTCAAAACTCTACTTCCAGCACGAAAGTCCAATGCTCAACCAACTGAGCCAACCAGGTGGCGGTTAAACATGCAATAGAAGCAGTTGGATCAGCACCAATAGCACCAGTATCAGTAACCATAATTAATGTATAAGTAGTAGGTAACATCAGCATTAGCAAAACAATCAAAGCATTAACGGAAGCACTATAGCTTTGAGTATAAGGAACAGTAAGGAGCACCATTACAGTATATCGCCTTACCTTGATGTCCATCTGATATGATGTCTGCCTGTCCTTTTCTACAGATASTCACATGACCTAGAGCCTTGCTGAGATCTTCAACCTGTGTCTGACTGTCGCCATTGGGATCTAGTGACTCTCCCATCTATATGGTCAAAATAGCACTCATTTCAATATCAAAGTACATAAAACCAACACAACCACCAATATATATACACCTGATCTCTAAACCTTTGACACTTTAGCAATATTATATACATACATGTATTATGTTTGAATGCTATTTCATTGTTGAAAACATTAAAGCCGCATCTACACGAGCAAGTTTTCCTTGACAAGTTTTTCTTGACAAGAAAAACTTGCTCGTGTAGATGGAGTAAAATGAACAATTTTTCCTTGACAAGGAAAAGCTGGCATGCTAGCTTTTCCTTGTCAAGGAAAAATAGTCAAGGCTGAAATTTGCTTGAGTAGATRGACAACAAGGAAAATGTGGCAAGGAATATTAATGAGTTTAGTTCTCAGTCTTTGACTGACGGCTAAAACAAAAATAAGTTGGAGTGATAAAGCCATTTTGATTTTTGTTCTACGAGAGACTGGAAAAAARTTTTTGTTAATACTCTGCTGATTAAAAGGCATTGCAGGCACAACCAAAACTTGTCAAGTAAAATTAGTTCATCATCTACACGAGCAAGAAAACCTTGTCAAGGAAAAAATGCTGATTGTCTACACTAGTAATGAAAATGTCAAGGATATTTGTCAAGAAAAACTTGTATAGATGCGGCTTAAACAAGGAGCCCCCCAGCTGCAAACATGCTAAAAGAACATTGCATATTCTAGAACAATCTGGTAACAAATGTTTGCTGAGAAATGATTTACAACACTGTCTGTCATATATATGTATATATATATACATATATACTCAAACAGGTCAAAGTCTTGGGGATTCAATGTATATATATAAATATAATCTCACCACGGCATAGTAAAGTCTTGCAAACTCCACCACATTAGGAGTAAGGATTATTTTAGTGTAGTTTTTGATAAGATCTGGRTATGATGTCACTATGTGCAAGCCATCCTGAAATAATCCAAAGGAGTATCATTATAGCATATGAAAAAGGTATTAAATAAGCAGAAATTCTGTGATTCAAAAGTAAGATACTTACTGCGTCAATAACCAATTGCTTTCCTAGTTTGATGGCCTTTTCTATGACACTCTGATGAAACAATTTTTAACGTACAGTGTAATTTTATTAGAATTAATACCACTTGTTGATTGGCCCCAGCAATTATTGATGAGAGTACAGAAAGGGCTGTGGTCAACCTTGCATGGTTTTTCCAATGCTCACTTATTGCAATACTTTTTTTGTGTGAATTATCAGTTATTTCCCTATAAGCTTATGCTTTTTGAACAATGCCCTTGTTTGCTGATTCACTGAATATACATAATAGACTTTTGTTTCAAAAGATCGTAAGCAGCAACACAAGCTACACCAGAGGAAGGAAA